GTTTTTATTTATTAGGATGTTGTGGGATCTGTCCCAACATCCATCTCAGTATTATAGAGGCTTCATAGACAATCAGACAGTTATTATTGAGTCTCTCATCTATGTATTTGCAGATACTTTGTTTTGAGACATAAGTTGCCATTTTGGCTAAGATGTTATCATTTAAACTATTGTAATGAGTTTATTCTGTTGAGTTAAGTCTTCCGCTGAGTTAAGTAAGCCAGGCCAAGGGTCCGCTTGGGGCCAGTGATAGTCTCCGAATGTTAGCCACGTCCAGGGTGTAGGCTCGGAGCGTGACATACTTGTTGTTTATCTTTCACCTTAATTATTTAGTTAAATTGGTAAAACTACTAGATTGGCTTACCTATCAGTTGAGAGCATGGGTACCATCACGACATTAAAATTTTGGATCATGACATTCATCAAAAGTTTTAAAAGCAAAATTCACATATTTAAAAACAACACAAAATATATTGCAAGCCAACATAACTAATGATCAAAAATATTTTTGAAAATTTTAAAAAATTAAAATGGAGGAGAAAACAGTTACACCTTCACATGAGATGACATAGAGGGAATACTAATATATCCAAATTGTGGCTAAGGGTGTGTTGAGGAAAATATCTTCCAAAAAGTGATTGTCAATTTTTACATTTCGGTTGATTAAAAAATTTTAAAAATAAATAAGTTCTACGAGTCATATTTCATATGATTATGGCCTCTCCATCCTTCATCACATCATATCTTTGAACCCTACCCTCACCACCAACTCTTACTCCTATCCCACCTTTCATAGTATTTGTTTTAGATTATATATAAATATTTTTAAAATAATATATATTTCACTTACCTAATAAATGCAAAAAATAAATCAAAAATCAATTTATTTCCATAAAAATAATTTTCTAAAAAACATTTTTTCATAAAAGACATTTACTTTTAACACACCCTACGTCAGCTTGAAAGGTTCTAAGTGAGAGAGAAATGAATAAGACCATGTGATTTAATTTTTTACAACTCAACAAGATATTTTAGGTCTCCTTTGGTGTATTATCATTAACTTTGATTGGACCGCAAAGAATAAAAATTTAAAATCATAGAAGGTGAGTGACTTTGTAAGTAAAACAAAATGCATAATTGAGTGACTTTGTGCATAAAACAAAATGCATAAGACATAAAGAGAATAATTTTGGGGAAAAAAGGTAAAATAAAAGGTTGAGTAACTTTGTATGTAAAACATTCATAGTTGAATGACTTTTCAGTTAAAAATCAAAGTTGAATGACTTTCTGATAAAAGAGTCTATAGTTGAGTGACTTTTGAGTTAAAAACTAAAGTTAAGTGACTTTCTGATAAAAGAGTTGATAGTTGAGTGACCATCTTTGATGTTATCTCTCAAATTCATTATAAGTGTTTAAATCTTAATAAAATAGATTTGAACCATTAAGTACAAACAAATGAAGCTTAATTTTCTTGTTGAGTTGGACCAAAATTAAAGCATTGTCTTATTCATTTCTCTTTCACTTATTAAGAACCTTTTGAAGCTTGGAAATACTGTCACCTTTCTTCTTCTTTTTTCCTTCTAAAATATTGCTTGATCGATCAATTTGACGTAGGACTAGTTTGGGGAGTATTTCAAGTGATATAATAGTTGTCAAAGTGCTTTCAACTTTAATCAAATCTTGTCCACACGAGACTAATCCACTTGTTTTAATTGAAGAATTATTTATTTATGAGATAAGCGTCAAAAACAGACCCAAACTATCCCCATTTTTTGAATTTCATGCCTAAATTAACTATTGAGAGTGTGAGTTTCATACCTAAACTATCAACATTGTCACCATAAAAATCTTTTTTAAGATTATCAAATTGTTCAAAGGATATTTACAGACAAGCCTATACATATGATATCCGTTATATTTTAAAAAATAGACAACTTATCTACTACTATAACATATATAAATTAAAAGTGATCCAATAGCATAAAAAATATTTATTTTGACAATACTATAACTAAAACTCTTTTTCTTTAAATATTTAATTTGTGTTGTTTGGTGGAGCAAAGGTATAGAAACTACCATCACCAAATGCAAATTACTTGAGCAATCAGCAGGAATTGGATCAAAAAAATCATACACACAACTTGCTTTGCATAAAATTTTGAAGCATTTTCGATGTCTAGAGAAAATGAACAAAAATGTCCTTAATGTATGAGTTGATTTTAAATTTATTTGGTCCTTGATATATTTCAAAATGTAATTAGTGCATTACACAAAGGTACTTCTGTAAAATGCAATCTGATTTCAAAATTCCTAATCCTAACTTGAAAGAGCTTTTTAAAAACTTTGAATATAGAATTGAAGATTGAAGAAAAAGAAATTTTATTCGATAAACTATGGAAAGTATCCTACAATATCTTTGATTAGTCCAAGTAGATGTCGATGCTGCCTCAATTTATTTTGACAGCAAAAGTCACGATTGTCTTTACTTAAATAATTTAGGCCTAAAGCTAAATTGATCATATTTTAGCAAAAGTTACGATTGCTTTACTTATATAACTTAGGTCTAAATTAATCATATTTTAGAATACATTTAGGACTATTTTTATCATATTTATACATCAAAGACAAAATGAAATCCAAGTCCACACATGGAGGGTATAGATTATTGTAATCATGTTTTTGCCTAAAAGATGCAATTTCTGAAGAAGGGAAAAGCTACAAGCAAAACTTTAGGGGAAGAAGAAAAAATAGAATAAAATGTGTCGGTCATCATTTACTCCAATAATGTTTTGTTTTTTGTTTTTTTACCAGCCATTACTAAAGGTTGTGAGCATTGATTTGGGATTTGGGAAATTAGATTTGATCCCTACCATATTTATTATTCACCGAGGTACAAAATAAGAGGGGTCACCTGTTGAAGATAAGGGAAGCTGAAGAAAAGGAAACATGTTGTATAATCAATGTGTATAATTGTTAACTGTTATAGAATAAGAGTCATATTAGGATTGAATTATTGTGTTAACTAAACTCGACTAGGCTACTATGTCTTGTGTCAGTCGATTAGAATAAGTTATAATTGTAGTAATAGTAGTCAACCTCCACTCTTGAAAATTGTATATTTATATTGTAGTAGAACTTTAAATATAGCTAGCCTAGGACTCTACAATTAACTCATATATAAGGAGCATGTACTCGACAATTTCCATCATTAATACAATCCTTGATTTCTCTCATTCTTTTACTTGAGAATTCTATTTCTCTTTATAAAAAAGCATGAACTCGAATCATTACTAGAATCCTTGATTTCTCCTGTTCTTTAACTTGAGAATTCTACGGCATGGACCCCAAGCATTTGGTTTCTTATTATGTAAAAGAAAGGATATTGTAAAGACTATTCTTTTTTTATCCTATTCGACTTTAGCTAACACAAGACAATAGTCTAGTCGACTTAAGTTAACATAGTAGCCCACACCTGCACTCAAGTTTTTGGAGCAAAATCATGCATATAATGAATTGAAGATCTTTTTACTTATATGCGATGTATAATGTATTTTATTTTACTACATTATTTTTTAATTATAATGTTAAAATAAGTTGTATCGTTCATTGTTTAATAGCACTTTATTGTTTGATTTTCAACAATCATTAAATTTACTTAAGTATCGTTGATTATTATAAATAGAAAACTTATCAACAATTACTATAAAAATATCTGAAGACGATTTGTTCTAGGCTGTACTGCCTCATTGCACTAAAGAACATACTAATAGAGTCAGCTTCAATTTGCACTTGTGTTGATTAATTATTGGCTGGCCTCGTACCACTTTATATAATGATATTTGTATAGGTATAAAAACTGGCCAAATGTGAGGCCGAATCAGGTAAAGACAACCTAACCTCAAGAGGGATATTACAACTACTCGTATGAAAAGCTAAGCGAGATAATCCTCAGCTATCTCTATCCTAACTTATGTCATCCATAATCTTCTATCTAAGGTCGTGTCCTCAATAACTTGTAGTTATATCATATCATGTTTAGCCATCACACCTTCGTATTGGTGAATCCACACATCTCTTCTTTACATGCCCAATGCATCAAAGTCTTCCTTCCCGCACCTATCAAGGCCACTACTACCTGGCCCAGGTGTTCTCATTTCTGATTTTATATATCTTCTATTTTTCCCACACATCCACCTCAGCTTCCTTATTTCCACAACTTTCAACTTTTGAATGTTGAAATTATTGACCAACCAACATTCCGCTCCATACAACATAGCCAATCTAACCAATAGTAGATCAATATATTCCAAGAAATTTTACGTCTAGTTCATCCAATGATTCTTCAAGTCACTAATCGATAAAATACCAAACAAAAAGCAAAATAAAAGGATATCAAAGTTCACACCTATGCTACAGTAACAAGAATAACAAGTAAATCAATAGATCCATCCACTAGTTCCTTCATCACCACATCCCCAACACACTATTTCCTAGTCCAAGATATTTCAATACTGAGCAGGGTCAAATGATAGAAAGCAGTGGAACAAGCAATAGAGATTAGGACACTCAGATACCACAAGGAAGTTGGTGAAGCATTTGGCAAGAAAACAACAGTAAAAATATTCCATGAGGCCAATTAAACATATTTTGCATTGCAATTGACAAAAAGGTACAAGATATATATATCCTTTTAGATAGTTTGAGAATTACTTATCACTGGCAAATAGCAATTCTAGAATTTATGCACCAACAGTTGATGCACTATGAATGTCACTGTGATATCATCAGAGGCCAATGACACAAATAACTCCCAGAGGCTGACTTGAAAAAAAGGAGTTTATAACTGATAGATCAAGTGATCACAACGCCAAACTCAGGATGTTTATATCCAGTTCAAACTTTCATAAACATCTATTTAACTGCTGTATCCAGATAAAAATAAATGGGGGACTTACATGCAGTCAAGTACCTCAAGCTCCAACTAACACAATAACTTAAAAGACACAAAAGCTCATCAAAGAAGGATAACTGATAGACAAACATCAACTTATGTTCTCCGGATGTAAGTTTACAATACTGATAATCTTTGTCCAAGAAATGTAGATAATATCCCAACTAACAATTGAAGGAAAACAAACTAAGAACCATTTCAATTGTAATGAAGGCCGAAGTAAGACCAAAATTGGGTGTTCATTCATCTTTGTCAACACAAGAAGTTAATAAAAGAAACCAAGAACCTTTCCACCAACATTCTTCCTTCTAGCCTCCTCATGGTCCATAATACCGGCGGAGGTGGTCAGTACAATGTATCCAAACTGCAAGATCAAACAAAATATTTTCAGGACTAGAGAAGTTTGTGCAAGAAAAGAAAGGATACCAATCCCTCCTGCTCCTAGGTGGGGACACCAAAATCTACCATTTCTATTTTCTATTTTCCATATATATATATATATATATAATAGTTAATCCTACGGCCCAATCCAAGAAAACTAATAGTCATTATGCTGCTCAAGGCATTGGAATTTCAAATTTACTCTATGGACAAACAGTTCACTGCTGGCAATAGAAGTTTACTGCATATCAATTGAAAAAATTAGCATCTTACAGGAAATAAGATGGGCTTGAGCCAACTAAAGCTGTCACAGCGACAATAACCTAAATCCTCCCATACATTCTTAGGACTAAAAGCATATATACACCTTCCTTTTTTAACATAATATGTATGAATCAAAAGAATGCAGCCCCAAACTAATCTTATGAGCAGCACAGCTAGGTAGATGTTATTATACCTGTCTGGAAGGCAACAATCTTGCGGTCCACCCTTCAATCTCCTTAACTCCAACATCAAAGCGAGGACTAATGACACCACATTTGTTCAGCCTACCATTCAGTTCAACAACAATTTTCCCTGATCTATGATCATCAACATACTCAAATTCTCCAATGTACCCTACACAAAGATGGCAAATGTAAGAACACAAAAAGGTTGACAAATAATCTGCATAGAAAATAATCAACAAAATCTAAAGTACCATGTTTTTGCATGACAATGAGAAACTTGATGATGACTTTTGAAGAAGGCCTAATCATGACCTGGCGCTTTCCCCTCTTCTCAGCATTGTACATGCTCTTAAGAGCATCATTCAACACACTTACTCGTACCATCTTCTACAATAATGCTGCTATATCAAACCAATACAATAATCAGGCTCAAATACATAAAAGTAAGAAGATCACTGGGGAAGCAGCATAAAGTGATATGAAAAGAGACCCATTATCTGCCGATTCTAGAAGCTAAACAAGAAGACCACAGGCGGAACTACACTTTAACAAGGTGGTTAGATGAACAACCTTCTTCGAGAGTGTATATATATATTAAATATCAATATTTTTGGATATATACTAATTGTTGAACACAGATAGTAAAGAAAGATAGTCAAATTCGCCTTGTCCTAAAGTATGAACAACTTTGACGAAAACATTGGCTCTGCAGAAGACATCTCAGGTAAATGAAACAAAAAGGTCACAATACTGCTCCAATTATCAGTTCCTCAGCTCAAACCAAACATAAAAAACTATGAGATCTATCATCCCAAATAACCAAATTCTAATTCACAACTCAAAACTGGCATTTCTAATACTCACACCGTTTAATAAAATCCAAACCTACCTGTCTTCACTACAACAAGATGCATTGGCATTTGGCACTACAAAATGAGCATAAATTTGCTGCCTAGCCTAACAAGAAACCGAACGCACAATCCCACACACTTATCTAAGAGAACTATTATTACGAGACGTAATTGAGTCCTAATACCAAAAATACCAAAAATCTGGGAAGATATTGGCTCACATCTCACAGTTACATTATATCGAATCAAAAAAGATATCACACAATGTCATTAATCTTTTTTTATACATATAAACTTGGAAATCAAAGAGATTAACAAACATACACGAAGCTCTGAAGACGACGACGATGGCGAGAAGGCTGAAGATCTACTTCGCTTACAGTGCAAAAGAATATGGTAGGAGATAAAGAGCTAGGGTTTATGGTTAGGTTTAACAAAAGGATGGGCTGGATTGATGGGCTGATCCAGGCTATTTTCTTATTTGGGCCTTCAAAGCCTTCAGTACTTGGGTGGTCTAATTTAGTTCTCACCTTAATTTTTAGGAAAAATTACCTAAATACGCAATTTATTTTAGAGAAAATTATGCGGTTAACCAAATTTATACTATTTAATTACTCATCATAGCTATAGTTTGCTATAATTACCACTCGCGACTAATATTATACATTAATTACGTGGGCTGACTTCGAATTTGTATAATTAGCCACGTTTGTATATGTATAATTCGCCAGAATATACAAATACATATGTATGGTATACAATTATCTAACCGATATACATATACAATTCACTTCTCTCCCACTCTCTATCCTCTCTCGCTCGCCTCTCTCCTCCCTCTCCCAATATCGCTCGTCTCTCTCCTCCCCTCCCAATCTCGCTTTCCACAAATGCATATGTATAATATATAATTATCTAACCGATATACATATACAATTCACCTCTCTCCCACTCTCTGCCCTCTCTCTCTCTCGCCTCTCTCCTCCCTCTCCCAATCTCGCTCGCCTCTCTCCTCCATCTCTCAATCTCGCTCGCCTCTCTCCTCCATCTCCCAATCTCGCTCGCCTCTCTCCTCCATCTCCCAATCTCGCTTGCCATATATACAAATACATATGAGTGATGTATCCAAAATTGAGACGCGATGTATCAAGACGTTGAGCGATATATTCAAAATGTGATGTATCGGTACGTTATGGGTATCCAGAATCCTTAAATTTTAAGGGATTTTTGTAATTTGGAAAAGAGTAGGGATATGATATAATTAGCTCTTAACAACCGTGGACATATATAAATAGCATTATAGCTACTATCCCTACTTGTTTCCAAATTGCCAAAATCTCTTAATTTGGTGGAATCTGAACATATTCCAAAACGCCCTGATACATCGCGTCCCGATTTTGGATACATCGTTCAATGTCCTGATACATCACATCTTAGTTTCGAGTACATCACTCAACGTTCTAATACATCGTGTACGTTCCGATACATCGCGTAAACTAATGTATCCAATCAATACATTGCGTAAAGTGATGTAACCGATCATTACATCGCATAAAGTGATTTATCCGAGAATAGGAGAGGGTAAAGATTTTTGTATTTATTTTAAATAGTAATTTTTTTAGAGAATATGATAAAATAAGTTGTATATTTATATATATATATATATACTCCAAAAGTGTGGATATCCTTTCAACAGATTTGAAAGGTTTCCTTGTTACTTTACATTTACTATAGGTAATACACTTAGCAACATGATCATTTTCACAGTCTTTAATTAATCCATTTTTCAACATAAGTTGAATGGATCTAAAATTCACATGACCAAGACGTTCATGCCATAAATCTAAAGACTCCACAACATAAGCAAAAATATTTTCATTTTCAATATTGAGTTTGAACATTCCATTTATAACATAACCTTTTCCAACAAACATGCCTTGTTTAGACAAAATAAATTTATCTGCCTCAAAAATCATTTTAAAACCATGCTTCGAAAGAAGCATACTTGACACCAAGTTCTTTCGAATATCAGGAACATGCAATATGTCTATCAATGTGACCATCTTTCTGGAAGTGAATTTCAGTTCAACAGTTACTTTTCCCACAACCTTAGTAGGGGATGAGTTTCCCATGTGTAAAACTTTATCGCCCCAACTAATTCATAGACTGTGAAAGAATTTCTATTACCTGATATATGATGAGTTGTGCTAGTGTCTATCCACCATTCCACTTGATCTCCCACTACAAATGCTTTTGTGACCATTGCCACAAGCTCTTTTTTTTTTTTGTTATTTGCCTTTTCTTTCTTCTTTTCAGCCTTAAGAATTTTACAATCACGTGCATAGTGACCAATTTTATGACAATGATAACATTCATTCAACTTAGAATTGGAATTGGTATGCTTGAAATTCTTACTCTTCTTTGCCTTCAAAAATTTATTATTGTCAGGTTCCTTCTTGGTAGATTTTTCTTCAACAACATGAGTTTTCTTGATAGGTTATTTCAAGATGTTATTGTCACGATATCGTGTCTCTTGTTCAATTTGCAAGTGCTGCAATAATTGTTCTAGAGAGAAATCTTCCTTCTTGTGTATGAGTTTGCTTCTGTACTCCTTCCAAGATAGAGGAAGTTTTGAGACAATAGCACCAACATGAAAGTTTTCATCAAGAGCAATTCCAGATATAGCAATTTTATTAGTTATAAATTGAAATTCTTGTACTTGTTCAGTGATTGACTTGTCATCAACCATTTTGAACTCCATATAATTTGAAATAAGAAATTTATTTGAACTCGCCTCTTCTGCTAAATTGATAGCTTTAAGAGTATCCCAAATGTCACGACCCAAAAATGGACGTAATGACACTCGTCTTATCCCATCAAGACAAGTCAGCCTAAAATCCAACTAATATAGTGAATGCAGAAGTAAAGTGTGAATAAAAGTCTAATACTATAAAATACTGCGGAAAACAAGGTCAACTTAATTAACCCTCAAAACCTGGTTGTCACGTGTACAAGCCTCTTAAGTATTACAACTAAATCAAAGAAAAATACAAATCTCATATGGCATTGTTTCTAGAGTAGAGCAAGATCATAAATATGAGTAAAAAGGTCCGCTGAAATAACAAACAACTACCTCACAAACCTCCATAAGAAGCCTCAGACAAGGAGAAGAGAAACTATCACAAAGGTCGGGCTAGTAACCTACAAAAATGTAGAAGCAAGGGGTCAGTACCAAACCACACGGTACTCAGCAAGTAAACTGCTAAACACAAACTAAGGGGATAAAGTACGGGTACTCCTTACACACCAACATAACCTCCACAACTACAACCCGTATAAAACCAACCCAACCTAACAGTTCACAGTTTACCTAGCACCCATCTCAACAATAATCACTTTAACAAATTACATATCCTCAACAACAAACTCAATATTCATCAATCATAACTTCCACAAAAAGGCATTCACAATATCAGGAACACACAAGATCAAGTTCACCGAATAGAGGTACTCAAATATCAAGTACTTTTCAACCACCAATACAACATAAAATCATCAAGAAAGAAGGATGACATGGGATGCAATGCAATATGACACCATGAAATGATATGCCTCAGAATACCAAGTACTCTCTCAATCGTATATACATGATACTCCTCGGAAATACATCGAGAGTACATGACCCTTGGGGGACTCGCGAGGTCCATATACCAACAAAGACAATCTCCACGTGTCTGTGCGGACGATCTCAACGCGCTATCATAAAAATCAAACAATCCCAGCACGGACGATCTCCACGTGTCCAACTTATAATCAAAATCAATTCCTCGCACGGACGATCTCCACGTGCCCAAATTATAATCATACTCGATCTTAACACGGACGATCTCCACGTGTTAGACCTTTACTCATACCCAATATCATGTCAATGCATGTGCACAATATGATATCAAATACATGGGATGATGCAACATCTCAATAAATCAAATGTCGCTATGACATATAATCATCTCAATTATCACAATTATACGGGTTCAGTAAAGAACACAATCACACATAATAAATCAAGTCAATAATATATCAGCTAATGCCCATATGCTTTGGCATTCTCGGATTACAATCCGCATTCTATAGTAATAAACTTTCCCTTTATAACACCGGTACTCATACCATTCTCAACACATCACACACAAACAATTGATCACATTGCCTTTTATTAGCCATTTTCATCATTAGAATTAATCAAGGTGGACAAGTCAACCCTTCACCAAGTCCCATTACTCCCAAACACATACCACAAGGAAATACACGAATTTCATACACTTAACAAGGGTTTAGAAATCCACTTGCCTCAATCAATCGAGAATTCACTCTGGAAGTTGAGCCTTCTCCTTTCATTGAACTTTCAACTCAAAACAATCTATTCACATTAATAATTACAATAAGATTTCGAAACTAACAACACTCATATTACTTTAGGTTTAGCCTAGACCCAAAAATTCACCCAATTATATAATCAAGTTCCTAAATTTCAAGCATAGGGTTAAGTCCAAAATTATTTTCAATTGCATAATTCTAATGATATTCACATAATGCCATACACTTAATGTTTAATTACATATCTTATTATATCAAAAACTAAATTTATAACATAATAAACAATTAATATTATTGAATCGAAGCCACTGGTTACAAAATCCAGTGGCAGCGACAACATGACCCAAATGTCAAACTTTCCTCCTTTTTCATGTAAACCTAGTTAATAATACATTATTTTAGTGCTTTCCAACTCATCAGGGATTCAATTCCCTGGAATTCATTCGCTAGCAACCAAAAATAAAAATTATCACTTCGTCTCCACCCCAAACCAGAATAAATGCATGCTGTACAAGTTTCAGATTGTTTCGTACCTGCCGCCCAAAGCACGTCTCCTCCGTTGTTCTCCTATCTCTTTTTTTTTTCTAAATTAATTATATAATTAAAGTAATAATTCCTATTAATCTATTTTAATAATTCAGATTTAACTCATTATTACTAAAAATAATCAAATTACCCAAAAATTAATTAACTACAGTTAAATGACTATTCAAAATTATCAAAACAAATGACCTTTTGGATCCGGGTCGTTACACTAAATCTCCTTAGCAAATTTGCACTTAAGATAATATTGATCATAATATTTATTGGACATTCCTCCAAGAATATAATTCTTGCATATGTAATCGTCATCTTGCCATTGGCAATTTGTTCTTTAATTGAAGTAGCCTCGTCCGTTGCTATCTCAGAACTGGGAGCCTCAGGACAAGATTTCTCAAGAGCATATGTCAACTTTAATCGTCTTAAAAAGAATTCCATCTTTTCACACCATCTAGGAAAGTCTTTGCCATCAAATATTTCAAAATTAGGATTACGCAAATTTGGAACACTGTTTTTTATTGATGTGGATGCCATAGAGACAACTATCTTCAAATTGTTAGAACAACTAAACAAGAATGATAAAAATACAAGGAATCCAAAACAAAACTTGCTTGACTTAGAGGCACGTTAATACGTTTCTTGAAGATAGTTGGAGTCACTTCCACGAGCAATCGGAAGAATAAATAACAACTCTATCTTCGGGATTCAACTAAGCCACAAAACAAGTAGCATTCAAGAATGTTGCTCTTCTATTCTTGAATTGGTGATTTCACCTTTTGATTAATGTCTCACAAATGTATTTCATGGAAAAGTAGTATTTTATTTTGAGTGCTTGTCTTTTCAACCAAAAGAAACTCAATTTATAGTACAAAAGTTTTGCAAGAAAAGATTTTTAATTAAATAGTATTTATTATAGGTTCATGAATTGAAAGGAAAAACTTAACTTCCAAAAATCTATAACGTAGAATTTTAAAAGAGTCTTGCAAAAAGTCTATAACGTAGAATTAAAACAAAAATGAGTGTTACAACTCACATTCATGTATTTTGTTATTTCAAAACTTTTAACGGATGAATTTGTTTCAAAATTAATTGAAACACTAACTCTTACAATCCCCCACTTGTTTCAAGAAATTTTTATCTTTGAAAAATCCAAAAAATATTTTGATACATTAATCTAGCAACATGCATCAATACTGATGTCTTTTGGACTTGAACCATTAGCTAGTGAAGGCTTTCTAAATCATTGACTACTTAGTGAACAAATCTTGAACTAAGTGGTTCATTGAATGAAATAGAGAAATACTCCACGCGTATTACTATGTTTCGGTGAAAATCGAAATCCTTTGACACCTTACTGCCCTTTGTCCTGATTCCTTTTAGCCAAGTGCTTTAAGATTTTCCTGTTAAAAATCTTATTGAAGCGGCCTCCACTTCGCACTTAGTGCGGTGAATTCATCAAGAGTAACTATGCATACTCCGACCAAATAGTCTATGAACTTCATGAAGAGAAATTAATCTCATCCTCATTTACAACAAAGTATCAGTAAATCTATCAAGAGTATTTCTACACACTCCAATCGAAATCGATTTATAGACTTATTAAGAGAATATAATCTCATCCTTCTCTTTAGTAGGAATATCGAAAAAATTTATCAAGAGTTTTCTTACTAACTCCAACCGAGATTGGTCTTATAAATTTATTAAGAGAAAAGAATCTCAATCATGCACATCTACTTATTTCATTTTTTTTAAATGGGAATTTTGTTGATGTGCTTCACAATTGTAACTTTATTTGTTTTTCCCTTTGAACCCAAGATTACATCATTAGGTAGGGGTACCATAAAGTACAATTAATTTACAACATGCTTTATTCCCATCCCATTACAAGTTTTCACCACTAACTCTTTTCCTAACCCTTTAGACAAAGGATCCGCTAAATTAAACCTAGACTTCACATATTGAAGGAATATCACGCCTTCCTCCAATAGTCTCCTCACATGATTGTGTTTGAGATGAACTTGTCTCGACTTGCCATTGTAAGAATCACTTGAAGCTCGAAATATAGCAGCTTGATTATCACAATAGATAGTTAAAGGTAGTACTGGCTTACTCCACAAAGGAATATCTAGATCGCAACCAATTAACTTCTTCTCCAGCAGAAGATGTAGCTATAAATTCTTACTCCATGGTTGAATGAGTAATACATGTTTGCTTCTTTGATTTTCAAGAGATCGCTAATCCAACCAAAGTGAAAATTCAAGCAGTAATAAATTTAGAGTCATTCGGATCAGAATTCCAAGTAGCATCGCTATAGCCTTCAAGAACAGCTGTAAATGTAGAATAATGTAGACCAACATTAATTGTACCCTTCAGATATCTTAAAACACACATTAAGGCATTCCATGTTCAACTCCAGGATTATTAGTAAACTTGCTCAAAGTTCCTACTACGTAACCAATATATCCGGCCTGGTACAATGCATGGCATACATAAGACTCCCAACAATCTGAGAATATGTCAACTTATCAAGAACATCACTAGAGTTCAGCATTAGTTTGATGCTAGGATCAAATGGTGTAGGAGCAAGTGTGTCGTCAAAGTGATCAAACCTCTTTAGAACCTTTTCAATATAACTTGATTGAGTAAGAGTCAAGCCATTCACTGATCTTATAATTTTAATACCCAAAATTACATCAGCTTCTCCAAGATCTTTCTTTCAAATTGAGAAGCTAGAAAAGATTTTGTTTCTTTGACTCTTTCAATATCAGTTCCAAAGATCAACATACCATCTACATAAAGACATATTATAACATCAGATTTTTCTTGAAATTTGCTAAATATGCAAATATCACCACCATTGATTGGGTAGCCATTAGAAATCATTGCTCTTCTAAATTTCTCATTCCATTGTTTTGGTGCTTGTTTTAATCCATAAAGAGATTTGAGAAGCTTACAAACTTTGTGTTCTTGACCAGAAACGACAAATCTTTTTGGTTGTTTCATGTAAACTTCTTCATCTGGATCTCCATTCAGAAATGCAGTCTTCACATCCATTGGATGTATTATCAGACTATGAATTGCGACTAAAGCAATCAAGAGTCGAATAGAAGTCATTCGAGCTACAGGTGCAAATGTATCAAAATAATCAACATCTTTCAATTGAGTAAAACCTTTTGCTACCAAATAAGCTTTGTACTTATCTAAGGTACCATCATATTTCAATTTCTTTCTAAAGATCCATCTACAACCAATAAACTTACATCCAAAAGGGAGGTCTGATAAAATCCATGTATTATTTGACATAATAGAGTGTATTTCATCATCAATAGCTTCACGCCAGAAAGGAGCATCATGTGAAGACATTGCTTCAGCATAAGTTTCAGGATCCTTTTCAATTAAATAGACTTGAAAATTAGGTCCAGAGTCTCTTGGTTTGGCTGATCTTGCACTACGTCTTGGTTGACTTTCTTCCAAAGGCTCAACTATTTTCCTTTTAAGAGGAGATATAGAAGAACTTGTATCTTGTTCCAAAAATTCTTTCTTCTTAGGAAATATATGCTCAAAAAAGTCAGCATGCAACGATTGAATAATTGTGTGAGGATTTGGGGTCTCAAGATTCAAAAATCTATAAGCTTTACTGATTTGTGAATAACCAATAAATACACAATCTACTCCTCTATATCCAATCTTAGTCAAATGTTGATCTGGTAATCTAACATGAGCCAAACAACCTCATACTTTAAAATAATTTATATTTGACTTTCGATTCTTCCAAAGTTCATACGGAGATTAATCATGTTTCTTGGAAGGAATTCGATTTAAAATATGACATGCAGAAAATAAGGCTTCAGTCCACAAATTTTCAGTGATACTAGATCCATAAAGCATAGAGTTAACCATTTCGATGAAAGTTTTATTTTTTCTTTCTTCTACATCATTTTGTTGTGGTGTATAAGACATAGTCAATTGTTTCTCAATGCCTTTTTTTTTCACAAAAAGCAATAAAATCTGATTTTAAATATTCTCCACCTCTGTCAGATCTAATTGATTTAATCTTCAAACTCAATTTATTTTCAACTTATGTTTTATATGTTTTAAAAGTCTCAAATGTCTCGTCTTTTGTTTTTAATGGAAAGACATATGTATACCTTGAGTAATCGTCAAAGAAAGTGATAAAATATCTCTTTCCATGACATGATAAACATTCCATCTCACAAATATCAGTGTCAATTAACTCTAAAAGTGTGGATATCCTTTCAACATATTTAAAAGGTTTCTTAGTTATTTTACATTTACTGCAGGTAATACACTAGCAACATGATCATTTTCATAGTCTTTAATTAATCTATTTTTCACCATAAGTTGAATGGATCTAAGTAGGCGTTTGGCCATGCGATACCATATCACGATATGCTGTCGTGAGATGGAATCAACGTTTGGACATGCGATTTTACGCTGATTCCATCTCGTGATTCCATATCATGAGAGGTGATATCATATTCTCCAAAAACCATGATATGGAATCACCATGTGATTCCATATCATGATTTGAGATATTATAATACAATAATTGATCCATGAGTTTATATTTTGTTAAAACAACCCCACATTTATATCTACTAACCATTTGTTTCATATGTAAATAAAATTTATAATCACATCATTACTTTTTAAAATTTATTATTCTCACCAATATAAAATTTATTATTACTTTAAATTTGGTGAATATAAATGATAAAGTAGAAATTCATTTGGTGAATATAAATAAGAACGAAGGGAGTAATACTTTTTTGACTTTTCATAATAAAAAAGAACGTCTTAATCTTATGACTAAGCATAATATTGATAAAAGACAATTTTCATTGGCGGTGCCGCACTTTCTTAATCTTAGTATTCGCAAAATGTTCGTTCACATGACTAAAGAATATCAAGTCCAATTGATTGAGGACTTGGGAAAATTTGATCAATTAGTTATTAATATTTAGTCAAGTGGACTAGTTATAATTTTTTTGATTAAATTTTATTAGAAATGTTTTTGACTCAAACTTGTGGTAACTTATTTAAATTTCATTATTCAATAATATTTAACTATTGATTTTTCTTGTAAATAGTTAGAAGTCAGTGATGTTTGTTAATTTTTATCTTAGTGTATTTAACTTCTAAGTTAATATTTACTCACTAATGTATGTTTTTTTCTACTTTATAGGTTATTTGTAAGAGTAGTTGAGAGATATGAGCATATTAAGTACAATTTATGTTCAATTTTTTTAATTAAATTAAAGTTAGATGAAATAATTACTTAAGTGAAGAACAAATAACTTTGTAATAATTTATTATGTGATTTTATAATTTTTGTTTATTTGATAAGATTGAATAAACAATTGGGGCTATTTTAATAGTTTTACAACTTATGGGATTTTTATGTTTATGAGAAAATA